GGCGTCCGCGCAGCCCGCTTCGGGACTCCGCGCCGGGATGTGGGGCGCCGCGGGACGCGCCGGCTGCGGGAATGGACTCTGCCCGCAGGAGATCGACCCGCACCCCGCAGGGCCCTCCCATTTGATTTCCACCCGGCCGTGGGCTCGGGCGTGGGGGCGGGGGCGCCCGCACGGGTCTCACGGTGGGGGAGGGGCCGGGGGCGGGAGCGGCAACTGTCCATTATAGGCCACGCCCCTTCCCACTGATGCCCCTGCGGGGTCGCCCCTCTAGGCGGGTCCGTGAGCGCCGAACAGAGCAGGTCTACGCCCCGGCAGATTCTATTGGTTGGAAGGCCGTGGGAAGCGGCCATAAGTAACCAATTGAAACACACAACCGGCTCGTGAGGGCGGGGAGAGTACCGCAAACTTCCTAAGGAGCCAATAGAGAAAAAGAACGCTAAAGAGCTTCCTGAGTTCGGGAGTCGGCGGAAGATGGCGGCCTCCGAAGGGCTCGGTGCGTGTGTGAGTTGCTGAGGTGAGGGGCCGGTCGAGCGGGCTCGCAGGCGGTACCTGTCCGGTCGTGGTAGTTGCCCGTCCAGTGCAGCTCAAGTCTGCGGGGAACGGCCTGCGTTGGCATGGATCTGGGATATTTTCTCAGGTTAGTGAGCCGTCTTTCTCTCCTTTCGGGGTCTCCTAGACAGGCTGGAGTAGGCGAGGTCGTGGAGCTCCGGGGCAGCGCAGCGTTTCCCGCCTGTCTCCGTGCTGGCGCAGCGCCGTTTGCTTCCCCGTTTCACTTTTGCCCTTCTTCCCAGTCCGGTGGGTCTGTCATAAGCTACTGAGGTTCTTTCATCTTCCTTTATAACTCTTTTCCAATTTGTCTTGTCTCCCCGCTGAAGAAACTAGTTATTCTGTCTCTTTTCTTTAACTGCCATTCATTATAAAGCTTTCTGCTTTTGTTTTTGGTCCCGGTACTGGGGGTTAAACCTGTCCTAGGTAAATGCGGTCCTTCTGCCTCGGCCTCCAAAGTAACTGAGATTGCAGGGGTGCGTTTCCGCGCGCGGGTGATTTTTTTTTTTTTTTGGTCATTTTCAGACAGGGTCTCGCAATGCAGTTCAGGCTGGCGTTGAGCTCACTTTGTAGCCCAGGCTGGCCTCGAACTCGCAACGATCCTCCTGCCTCAGCCTCCCGAGTGCTGGGATTACAGGTGTGTGCCATCACGCTTCTACTTCTTAATTATTCGCTGATTTATTTTTTGATGTAAAAATAGTTATATTAAATATAGCTTTTATTTTTATTATGGACACGAGGCATTGTTTCTAGTTGAAAAGTTAGGAAGTAGTTAAGTAAAACTCAACAGGGAAGCTACCATCTGGTGATAACCACTGTTAACGTTTTTGGTGAAAAACCTGACTTTTCTTCACCTTTGTTGTTTTGATACTGCTTTATCGTAAATGCCTTGTCCTACACGGGTAAAATGACGACCCAGCCAGTGGTGGCCAACTCTGGCACACACGCTGCAGAGCCCGCTCTGCGATGACGTCAGGAGTCGGAAGTCGGTTTTTGTATGCTAACTAAAACCTCAGGATGATGGTCTAATTGCAGTGTTGGCTCTTGGCGATAAATAGGTAGGTTTGGGGTTGTCGCCTGGACACTGGGTCTCTAAAAGGTTCACCTTCAATGATAGCATATTGTACCTGTTGTGTTCCTTTAACAACAATATATTTCCTAATTCAGGATGAAATCTACAATTCATACCGTAGCTTCCTGGAAAGCAGTATGTACATGACCTCACCAAAATTAATATTTGCCTATTTAAACATTGTTTAAATTACTCTGAACGAGAAAGTCTCCTGAGTTCTTCCCTGCCATAAGGAATGTCCCTAACTCATGGTTTATACATTTTGCCTAAATGTTTCAGCATACTGTTGAATAGTTACCTTTTTTTATTTTTATTTTATTTTATTTTTTTTGGTTTTTCTCCGGTACCGGGAACTGAACTCACGACCTTGCACTTGCCAGGCAGGCGCTTTTGCCGCTGAGCTAAATCCCCAGCCCCTAGTTACCTTTTTAAAATCCTTTTCTTAAAACACGGATAAAAAATGTTATGTATTTTATGTTTAAACAAATTGTCAGATAATTTTTTTTTTCATACCGGGAATCAAACTCACGACCTCACGCTTGCCGGGCAGGCGCTGTGCCACTGAGTTAAATCTCTGGCCCTAGATAATTTTGATGTGCAAGTACTGTAGGGTATTTAATAAATTTATAGGACCTGTGTGTCTTTGAAACTAACGAGATGAAAAGGACTGGTTTAACTTTAGTCATTAATGTGGGAGTTTTTTCTCATTTTAAGGTAAATACACACTGAATTTACCCACTGAAATCATTTGAAGGAATTGTCACAAACATCTTTAGATGCTAAGTCATCTGCTTTTTAAATAAAACAGGCTTTTGAAAGTGCCCTAGAAAAGCAAACTGCCTTACCGGTATATAGTGTTGCTTTTATAAATTCATATCTTTCAAATTTTAAATAAATGACAAATCTTACCACTTCTGTGAAATTCTGTTTTTTGGGGGGTTTTTTTGGTTTTTTTTTTTTTTTTTTTTGAGACAGGGTCTAGCTGTGCAGTTCAGGCTGACCTTGAGCTCACTTTATAGCCCAGGCTGGTCTCGAACTTGGAACAATCCTCCTGCCTCAGCCTCCCAAGGGCTGAGATTACAAGCGTGCACCACCACATCCAGCTTTTCTGTTCACTTTTTAAGATGGTGATTTTCAGAGTGTGATCCATGGACCCATTGCAGCCTCAGGACCCTTTCAGTGAATCTTCAGGATCAAAACTCTTACCATAATGTCAAGGTAGCATTCACCTTTTTCACTAAGTTGACATTTACACTGCTGGTAGGAAAGTAGCCGGATAACAGTTTCTTAGCACAGATGAGGGTGATGATGCCAAGCTGTCATTGTGTTTTTCACCCCCATTCACCTGCCAAAGGCAGTTTTTTTTGTTTTTCGTTTTTCTTCTAGTACCAGGAATTGAACTCACGACCTTGGGCTTGCCAGGCAGGCACTTTGCTGCTGAGCTAAATCCCCAGCCCTGCCAAATCCAGTTTTAACCAAGAGTGTCTGATGTGCCAGGCTGAGGCAGAAGGATCATCACAAGTTGAAGTCCAGCCTGGACCACATAGCAAGGCCCTGTCCCAAAACAAAAAGAAATAAAAGTGAATCTGTGATAAAAGATAATTGCTTTTGTTAAATCTTAATTCTTGAGTACAAAGCTCTTGTTAAAAGATTTAAAGTGGACTTGTTCTAGTTACAGGGCCTGGAAAGAGTCCTGTATTGTTATTTTTCAGCACTATCTCCCAGCTGGTTAAAGGATTTAAAGTGGACTCATTCCAGTTACAGGGTTGAGTACCTATCTCTGTAATATTCTGTGTAACGGAAGCGGGTATGGCTAAAGCTCCATATGGTTTTCTCAAGGAAAACCTCTTACATGATTGTCTCAGTTGCAGACTGAATTAGACACAGTTATTACTTGAAAGAATAACTGACAAACTTGAACTGTCAAGGCCTTATATTATAAAATGAAGAGGTAAAAGATCCACTGTGGCCTGGATCAAGTGATCCTTCCACCTTAGCCTCCAAAATAGCTGGACTCCAGGTGCACACCACCTCTCCTGCTTAGAATTTTAAAAATTAAATACTTTGCCAAGCGTGGTGGTGTATACCTGCAGTGCTGGTTACCTAGGAGGCTGAAACAGAAGAATCGGGGACTGAATGCCAGCCTGGATAACCCAGACTGCCTCAAAATAATAATGTCTAGGGATACAACTCGGTGGTGAAACTCCACAAAAAGAAAAGAAATGTACTAAGTGTTTTCCTGGCAAGCTTACAAACTACAAAAATTCTCATTTCTACTACTATATAAAGTGAATATTTTAAAGTTTCCTTTGTAGTCTTTTTTTAAAATGAGCATCAGATTGATTTTTCACCTTTCCTGTCTTATTTCAGGTTTTTTTATGCATTATTCTTCCCTGGGCTAATTGTGTGTGGAATTTTATGTGTATTTTTGGCCTTTGCCCTTTGGGGAATCAGATGGCTGCTACAGAGAAAGAAAAGGTCGATGTCAGCCAACAAGAATGGGAAAAATCAAATGGTGATTGCATTTTTTCACCCATACTGCAATGCTGGTGGAGGAGGAGAAAGAGTTTTATGGTGTGCCCTGAGGGCCCTGCAGAAAAAGTATGTATGGGTCTTTCTTAATTTGGTATATTGTTGCCATTAACAGAAAAAAAATCGTTATCCAGAAATTCATCTTTCTCTTTTACTTTATTCATAGCCAGAAATCCCTTTTTTCATCTGTTCTTTAATAAGAAAATGTTTCTCTCATATGCCCACCTGCCTCATAAGATCTTATTGAATTTTAGGCCTGATATGGTGTAGTCCCAGATCCTGTAGTCCCAGTTCAAAACCAGCTTGGGCAGCAAAATGAGACCTTGTCTCAAAGAAAGGTCTAGCTTTTAAAACATATTTGCATTTCTCAGGTAAAACCCTGAGCACTGCTTTAGAATTATGATTCTATATAAAGACACCTTTAGTGAATTTTGGTTCTTGTTTATGAGTACTTTATTAATATTTCACGACCACTTTTATACTAAGAATGTGAAAATAATATTTTTTTATTATTGTAGTGCTGGAGATTGAACTCAGGGCCTCATGCATGTTAGGCAAGTATTCTACCACTGACTTAAATACCCTAACCTTTAAAATAAAATGTTTGAGTATTTCCTAAAAATAAAAACTTTTCATTGATAAATTAGCTTTTTTTTTTTTTTTTTTTTTTTTTTGTCTTTTTGAGACAGGGTCTTGCTATGCAGTTCACGCTAGCCTTGAGCTCACTCTGTAGCTCAGGCCGGCCTCGAACTTGCAACGATCCTCCTGCCTCAGCCTCCCAAGTGCTGGGATTACAGGTGTGCGCAACCACGCCCAGCTGGGTTCCCATACTTATTTCCAGTTGTGCACTATACAGTATATATTACCGTGTTGGGAATGGGGTTTCAACACAAAAAGTTTGAGAGGACCCAAACATTCAGACCATGGTTTCATAGCACATGGTTTCACTTGCAGGACTAACTTGTGAGTCCTTGGACAGTGGAAAACTCATGAAACGGGAGGTCAGTAGTTCAAATGCAATGAAGAAAAAGCAGTAAAAAAAATCTTTTCCCAGCTGGGCATGGTGGTTTGCACCTGTAATCCCAGCACTTAGGAGACTGAGGCATGAGGATTGCAGTGAGTTCAAGGCCAGCCTGGACTGCACAGCCAGACTCTGTCTCAAAAACCCAATGTAAATTTTTTTCTAGTATAAAAATAAGTTGTGATTGTGAGAAAACTATCTACAACTTTTTGCTTGATTTTGACCTAATGACGTTGATAATTAAATTCTGTTGTAGGTATCCTGAAGCAGTTTATGTTGTTTACACTGGTGACATTAATGTCAGTGGTCAACAGATCCTAGAAGGTGCTTTCAGAAGATTTAACATCAGATTAATCCACCCCGTGCAGTTTGTGTTCTTAAGGAAACGCCGCCTTGTGGAAGACTCACAGTATCCTCGCTTCACACTGCTGGGCCAAAGCCTAGGGTCCATTTTCCTCGGTTGGGAAGCGCTGCTGCAGTGTGTTCCTGACGTTTACATTGATTCAATGGGTTATGCTTTCACCCTTCCTCTGTTTAAGTACCTAGGGGGTTGCCGAGTTGGAAGCTATGTTCATTATCCCACAATCAGCACTGACATGCTCTCTGTAGTGAAGAATCGAGATGCTAGATTTAATAACGCAGGCTTCATTACCAGGAACCCTTTTCTCAGCAAAGTGAAGCTCATCTACTACTATTTATTTGCTTCTCTTTATGGACTTGTTGGTTCATGCAGTGATGTTGTCATGGTCAATTCTTCTTGGACCTTAAACCATATTCTGTCACTGTGGAAGGTCGGGAATTGCACGAACGTTGTTTATCCACCCTGTGATGTACAGACATTTCTGGACATTCCCTTACATGAGAAAAAGACAATCCCAGGACATTCAGTGGTTTCCATTGGCCAGTTCAGGCCTGAGAAGAATCATCCTTTGCAAATCAGAGCCTTTGCTAAGTTGCTGGGTAAGAAGGTGGCTGAGTCCCCTTCACTGAAACTTGTCCTCATTGGAGGTTGTCGTAACAAAGATGATGAACTTAGAGTAAACCAGCTGAGGAGACTGTGTGAGGACCTGAAAGTTCAAGAAGATGTGGAATTTAAAATAAACATTCCATTTGATGAGTTAAAGAAGTACTTGTCTGAAGCAACGATTGGGCTGCATACCATGTGGAACGAACATTTTGGAATTGGTGAGTTTTTCTTTTAAACAACTTGTGTGGTATGGCAAGATGTATTCCTTACTTTTTTTTTTCTTTTTTTTGGTAAAACAATAATAGTCTAGAAATCTGTAAGCCCTAATTCTCTTTCCGTAGCCTTTGCTCATTTGAGACCCTGTAAGACAGTACTTAATTATAAACAACTGAGGACGTGTCTCAGTGGTAGAGAGCTTTGTTAGCATCTGTGATGTTCTGTGTTCGATCCCCAGATCCCTAACGCCCCTAAAATTTTTTTTCTTGACCCCTTACTATTGTGGGTTTTTTGTTACAATTATTATTTAGTTTAATCCTCTAACAGTATTCTTTATTCCTTTTTATAGATACACAAACTCAGTCACACAGGAAGTGGTAGAGCCTGGATTCTCTGACCCAGGTCGCCACTGCTCTTAACTGCTACTTCCGCTCCTGGGCCCTGCCCTAATCCTACGGCCCGTCCACTTGGAATCTCTAGATGGGGCTGGATAGAGCGCTCAGGTCCTTCCGTTGTACATCAAAAGCTGAGGCCCACTGTCTGCAAGTGGGCCTTTCACAGTCATTCTTTTAGTCTGGTATTGGGTCTGCATCAGTTTTGGCCTCTTCGCATCTTTCTGGCAAATCTCATTATAAATGCTCGTTGTAAGTCTCGCCCTTCAATGTTTCTTCTCTTTGTTCTGACACAGATTGCTCTCTCCAGTCTGACTCATACGTAACACACAGTTTAGTATACAGTCAAGTATCCCTTTCTGTCTAATTTGGTTCGGCAGTATTTATCAAATGCCTGTTTTGTGCCTCACTCTGCTAGTTTTTTGGGGAAAACAGGACAATACTAAGATTCAGCAGGAACTTGTTGACCCACTTTCTGCCTGGGGTCTGAACTCCTGTGCTTCCTTCCACTGATACATCCACCCTGTGCCAGACACTCGGGTGGGTGCTGGGACTATGCTGGAGATGCTTTTCCCTTCAGAAGCTTCTGGCCCTTGGGGCACCTGCTGGGCTCTGTGCCAGGTGCCTGGTGAGGAACCTGCAGAGTGACGGGAAACAGCTGAGAAACACTGGCACGCTCACGGGAGCGGGGAGCTGTTGCCCGTTGATGTGTTGCATGACACTCAAGCTGGGGGAGTTGGCCAGCCGTAAAGGGAGAGTACCCAGCAGAGGGAACAGCACTGTGACTGGAGTGACAGCAGGGACATCAGCAGGCAACTCCAAGGTACTAGTTCAAGTGGCCGGAGCCCAAAGGTTGAAGGCTCAGACAGTGGAGGGGAGGTCTGGACCAGGTCAAGTGGTGAGGAAAGGGGGAGAAGTTTCAGTATCGCGTTTGCAGTTTTCTGTTTCCTGACGTCCCCTCCGGCTGCAGCATGGGCAGTAGGGGAGAAGAGCAGGGGACAGGCTTGGAAGGCCGGAAGCTGCACTGCACTGCAGCATCAGGTCTGTGGGATGCCACTGGTCTGAACTGCGTGCTCGAGACAGAAAGCCCTGATCTGGAAGTGGGGAGTGAACAGTTGTGCCTGCCCAAGTAAAGCCCTGCGGACGTAGATAAAGGAGGAGGATGGAGGGCTAGGGAAAGTACACACTGCAGTACCTGGGAGACCAGGGAGGACAGTGTTTTAGGAAAAGGAAACAAGCAAGTCCCCACTGCCCTGGGGAACATGAGGAGGTCGTTGGTGACCCGCACAAGCAAGTTTGAAGGGAGACGGGGCAGCAAAGGTCAGATTGTGGTCAGCTGAGCACTGAGTTCGGTGAGCCGGGGGTGTGAGTGCCAGCCACACCGTCAGAAGTGCAGCTGTGAAAGGGAGGGGGAAGAAGAGAGGAGGCTGGGTGGACGTGTAATCGAGGAGGGCGTGCATACGTGGGCCCCTCGCGCTGTTAGGAGCCTCACCTCTCTGAAGTGCTGGTGGAAAGGGGGACGTGGCAGATCATGCAGGGAAGAGGAATAACCGATGTGTGGAGGCCTCTGAGAAGGTGCCAAGGGATGCTTGCCAGCCTCACACAGAAGGCGAGGCCCTGAATGCCTCTGTGGGGATTTTGCCACTGCTCAAGAAAGAGACTGCTTTAACTTCTGCCCTGTACACCGAGGATGATGTCAGCTCTGTACCGTCCTTCAGAGAATTGATGACTTAGGAAGTCACCTTCTGAAGGGTTTGATTCTCCCAGGAACACAGGGAAGAAAGGCCAGCTAGTGCATGTATACCTGTCCTGCAGGTGCCTCTGTTTAGTGCATCCCTGCTGTCGGGCGTAGCAGAAAGCGAGGCAGAAGCAACAGCAGTGTCCTCAGTAAGGTGGTTCACGTTTTCCCTTGTTTCTGCTCCTGTGCATAATCTGAACTCTTAACATTGTGTGACTTCCATCTCCTTACTTGTTTTTTCTTGGTTTTTTTTTTTGAGACGGGGTCTCTCTATGCAGTTCAGGCTGGCCTTGAGCTCACTTTGTAGCCCTGGCTGGCTTCAAACTTGCAACGATTCTCCTGCCTCAGCCTCCCAAGTGTCCTTTGTTGTTTTAAATAAGAATGAAGCAGGCTTATTTTGAAGCTTTGGAAACTGGAAACTTGAAATCATTCTATTTGCATCACAGAATTGAGCAAATAAATTTATAGGCATGTACGTCCTCAAATTTCTCATGAATCTCAAACAATTTTGAAGGTTTCTGCTCATCCTCATTCTCATAAATATGCTCAGAAATATAAAGAACTGCATGAGGTTTTTTCTCCCGTTCTCAGGAGTGGTGGAGTGCATGGCAGCTGGCACAGTCATCCTCGCACACAACTCGGGGGGCCCAAAGCTTGACATTGTTGTTCCTCACGAAGGGGAGATGACTGGATTTCTGGCTGAGAGTGAAGAAGACTATGCCGAGACCATGGCCCATATTCTTTCCCTGTCAGCAGAGAAGAGACTGCAAATCAGAAAAAGTGCTCGTGCGTCTGTGAGCAGATTCTCTGATCAGGAGTTTGAAGTGTCGTTCCTGTCATCCATGGAGAAGTTACTTGAATAATGCCATATCTCTATAAATGATTTTATATAAAGTGTTCAGAGTTAAGCGTGTCACTCAGCATATGGTTGGCATGTGCAGGGCCCAGTGTTCAATCCCTAGCACCAAAAATAATAAAATGACTGAACACCTTCGTATGTAAATATTTTCCTAAACTCATTCCCTGTTACAATGAAGTCAGTTTGAGCAGTGTTCTTAGCAGACCTATACAGACAAGATATTCAATTCAGTGGAAAAAGTTAAAATTACCTAAATGGAAAAGGTAATCTTACAGAGCTTATATAAAAATTTTAGATTAGTATTTTATCTCAAATCTGAAAAACTCAGAATGAAAGAAAAAAATTATTATATTTTAGTTTGGTTTTGGTTTTTTTGAGACAGTGTCTCACTATAAAGTCCAAGCTAGCCTTGAACTGTATGTCACCCCAGGTAGCGTGGAACTCATGGCAATCCTCCTGCCTCAGCCTCCCAGTTGCTGGAATTACAGGAATGTGCTACCACACCTGGCCTATAATTTTTTCTTTAGGCAGGGTCTCACTGGTGCAGCCTGGCCTTGAACTTGTTCAGGTAGCCCAGGCTGTTGGCCTATAATCTTGAATTTTTTGGATAACCCACATTTTTAAAGTACTACTTTTCAAATCACTTTAGGAAACAGGAAAGAAAGAAAAGTTTAGGGTTTTTTTTATGTTTTTGGAGGTTTGGTTTGGTTTTATAGTATAGGGAGTTGAACCCAGGGCATCATACATGTTAGGTAAATACCACCAAGCTACAACCCCAGCTAAAAATTTTCTTTTAGAAAGTAAAGAAATATTGAAAGAAAAATGGATGGCAGATAACTAACTGACACTTTAGAATTCTGACATTTTGAAAAACAAAATTGTTTTATTTTGATTTGATCTTTGATTTTTGGTGCTGGGATCAATTCAGGGCTTTGTGTGTGCCATACCTCTGAGATGCATCCCCAACCCCCAAAGTTTTCCAGTACATTTAAATTCTAAACAACATGGTGAGTCAGTCTTTTAAATGTACCTCACATTTTCCTTAAAAGAAAGAAAAAGCTTTAAGCAGGCTTATGTAATCATGTTTCCAGAGAGTATGGTCAGGAGTTGGGACTGGCTGATTGCTTCTCGGGTGTATATACACGCATGTTAAGACCAAAGAATGTCTAGCAGTCTTTTTCATAAGTAGGTTTTTGTGAAAATAACTTTTTGTTCAGTGCCATCCTAGCACATGTTTGTTTGTTTTTTGAGAGAAGGCCTCACTATGTGGTCATTCCAGCACATTTAGATAGGTCTTGCATCAACCCAGAAGAACACCTCTCGAAGGCTGGAGATCAACCTGAATTCATTCAAGAGAACTGCAAGATGAGTTGTTTTTTGGACAGCAGTGATGGTACCATATGTGCAGATCAGTCCGTACAGTGCCTCTGATCGGCCTCATGCACTATAAGATGGCATGGCGGCATTTTGAAAAGAACACTAGATGAGTGATTAGGGTACCCAGGCCAGACCTCTGCTTCATCACTTACAGACAGCTGACCTTCTGACATTAAAGACACTCCTTAATCTTTTTGGGTCCCAAATTTTCATTTGTAATCTGGAGACATTAATACCCATCCTCACTGCCTTTCAGAGTTGTGATAGTGAAGTGGAAAGTGTGAGAAATCACAGAAGTTACTTTAATGAAAGTTGACAACCTGTAGTAAACCTCTCTGTAATCCTGTCTTTACCAATGCATTCCAGCTCTGGCTGCTTGGTTCCTAAGTCAGTAGCTAGGAATCAGTACAAACTTAACTTCTATCCAGAATAACTACATGGAGAAGTAAATACTTGTGTGTGCACGTTTGGCCGTATGACCTAAAGCTTTTAGCATTTTTTGCCTGCATAGCATGTTATAGTTTAGTGAATTGCCCCCAATTTACAGACTGATTTACATTTGTATTAGAAGCATATGAAGGAGGTGTGTTATTCCTTTGCAGCCTGCTCAGCTATTCATTGATCCAGCCAGCTTTA